AGACCATGTGACCACAAGTAAGGACATTCAATTTCTGAAATAGGACATTCAGTTTCTGAAATTGTGGGTATATTTGATATCTATCAATCTAAGGTATCTTGTATGTATTCGGAATACCTGGTGAAAGCCATTACTGCTGACTGTGAACAGTGTAGTAGCCAACAAGACATCCTAAATGATTATGATCAGAGGTGTTTGGCTAGAACTGCCTACAGTAACAAAAATGGGATACAGGAACAGAACAACCACTAGGGTGCTCCTGTTAACTCCACACACTGGATGTAGTGCCTTACCTGTACTTGTGATTTTGCTAATTGATCCTGAAGAACTGGCCAAAGTTGGTAGAGTCTGATGAGTCACAGTTTCAGATGATTCAAGCTGATGGCCATGTTTAAGTGTGCTGCAGATTCCATGAAGCCATGACTAGCAATTGTCAACAAGGCACTGTGCAAGTTGGTAGTGGTTCCATAATGGCATGGGTTGTGTTTGTTAATCTGCTTAAACACATCATTGGCTAGTGATTGCTGTGTTGTATTGCTTTGTGACCATTTGCACCTATATACTCAACAAGCATAATACACCATACCAGTTGGCCTAAGTTTCCCAGAATTCTTGGAGCATTCTGGAAATTTCTAATGAATTCCATGGCCACCACATTTACCCAACATAAGCCCAATTGAGCATTTACAGGACAAGATCTGGCCCCACAAGAAGTTATGAATGGTCATTGAGATATTTTTCCAGAGTCTTCAGAGCACTTGTGGAATCAAAGACATATAAAGTTGCTGCACTAGAAAAAGTGTTTTTCATAATACAAGTTCTCTATCCTATGACTTTTAGCATGTCAGTGTATAACAGATAAAATGAGGACAATAAAATCACCAGATAAAGCTAGTTTTCAGCCACAAATACTATTTTCTACATAACTACCAAAACTCCTTATGTCCTTTTGTCAGTATTGAGCATTTCATGGGCTGACATATATGCAGTACCATGCAGAATGTAACTTGTCTCCTATATTGTCTCCATTGCTGAAATACATTACCTATTATCTAACTGCACTCACATCAACTGTTTGGTTTATGTAATGATTCAGCAAGCATTGATTAATGTTATTAGGTACAATTTTTTCTGTATGGAGGAAATCACTGATATACTACAGTGTTCTCTGCATTTTTATGTCAGATGCCATTTTGCTAGAATTTTCTATATGTAACAAACCAAAAAGAATTTTGCTTTATTGGCAAGGTGATCTAATATCTACTTCTGACATTACAGATTAACATAATAAAATACAAGGCATTACTTTCAGAGCAACCCTTGTGTGTGTTTGAAAGCATATATCTGTATATGAACATCTATTTTTGCCTGTATACCTGAGAACATATTTTTTTTGTCCCAAATATACATTAAGTAAAGTGTAACTAAATTAACATTTCTTTTTCCCTCTGTTTATTTTGTCTTCTTGTCTAAATCAATAATTATCATTGTTCATTCTTTGGATGCAGCCATCATCATAACAGGAAAAAAGAAACAAAAACAAAACTTTCCATTAATTTTGGTTCAGCTCATTCTTGCTGGAATAATTATGGAACACAAATACCAAAATAGCAATAAAGCAAAAACAAACAAAAACAACAGAATATCCAAGAGAGAATAACTCCAGAAACACTCTAGATTCTCATTTATTCTTACATATAGTTCATTTGAACGTCTAAGTACAACAAAACAGTTCACAAATAAGAGGGATTACAGCCGTCATAATAATTATTCTTGAAATGGAACTTGAACTTGTCACCTTATTTGGTCATGCATAAATTTTTATTCATTAAGGAAAGTATATTTCTGATAAAAAAACATTTCCCAAATTTCCCATGACTGGTGAATGATTCAATGACACATCTCTATCAAAATCTAATCCAGATAAATACTAGTCATGATATAGAAAAGATTATAATATAATATAGAAAAATAAATACTAGCTATAGAAAAGAACCTTATTTATTATTAACATCAAGATCACTTGGAGTGTTCAGTGTTGCTTTTCATTTTTGTTTTGACCTATGTATTACAGTCTATGTCCAGATTATGGATTCAAATTTGGAATTTTCAGTCAAGTTTCTTTCATTAAGTGTGTAAACATTTTAAAGTATATTCCTTGCCCAAAGGTATCAGAATTTTGCTTGATAACTGCTCTTTTTGCATTACTGATCTTTTCCCTAGATTTGTTTTTTTTTTAATCATTTCACCCCAAGCAAAGCGACATGCCATTAGCATGCAAGGGGTTACAGAGAGTGTGAGCGAGAGTAAAGAGGCATGATAGAGAAAAGGATGAAGAGAAGGACAGGGAATTGATCAAGGCATCTGGAGATGTTCATCAACATTACATTTGAATAGTTGGAGATTATAGCTATCAGGGAAACAAGTAAAAGGAAGGGAATTTCACAGACAGGTTGTGCGAGACATGAAGCTATTGGAATAGAAGAGACAGCTACATTTAACTGTTTCGACAGTGAAAGAGTGGGACTGAGATGCCAGCCTAGTTGCACATCTAGGAACTAGTGAAAGTAGCCCATAGGAGCAGTTACCATGAAAGTATTTGTAGAAAAGACAGAGGGAGGTGATGACATGTCTGTGAGAGAGTGACTGTAGATGAGATGCTAGATCAGGGCCAATCACATTGCATATCCATCTGTGGATTTTGTTGAGGACCTTAACATGAACAATGGGGGAACCAGACCATATATGGCAACAGTATTCTATTCAAGGTTGAATGATTGATTTATAGATTTGAAGGATGGACTTGGGCAATAAAAACTTTCTGGCGCAACACAGGGAACCAACTTTCCTTGCGGTGGATGAAACTATTGATTCAATGTATTTGTTCCATCTCAGGTCAGCAGACAGTGTGAGACCAAGCAGTTGCAAAGAGGTGCTCTCATGGAGTTGAGCATCAGAGATTCTAATGGGAAGCAGGAATGGTTCCCTGTGGTGGGTAATAGAGAGCAGTTTTATTTATGAGGCATTAAAGTTAGCCAGCCAATTCCTGCCCCAGTCCACAACCAATTGGATTTTGAGACAAATGGCCAGGTTAGTTTTGTCAGTGATACCAGATTTGCTTTTGAGGCAGGAGTAAATAGTAGTGTCATCTGCATAGATGCCTTCTTGGGAACTGATGACATCGGGAAGATCATTAATGAAGATAAGGAACAGAGTAGGGCCCAGGATAGAGCCTTGGAGAACACCTGCATTCATGAGAAAGGAACTAGAGGAGAATCTGTTAAGGACAACTTTCATTACATGGTTTGACAGGAATGATTGTATTAAGTCAAATAATCTCCATGTGATAATTTCCATGTTAATATAGTATCTATTCAATAGTGTAGCTTACAACTCAATATTATAGCCTCTAGATACCAGCTTTTCAAGTTTATCATTGTACATTTGTCAAACTGTATGTTGATTTTCTTATCTCCTTTCACACTTTAATATCTATTTTATCATAAATCAAAAAATAATTTTTAAGATAATTATTTTCTTTAGTGAAAGATAGACATAGTTTATGCCAGAGTTGAAAGTTTAATGTACTATCACTTGGCACTGGCCCTTTATTTTCTTAACTATATTACGCTGACTGTATACCTATACAATGCCCAGCTCTCCATTGAATCTATTCCTTTTTAAATAAATGGTTTTATTCTGTTGTACTGCACTTTGATTGAAAATAATTCAATCATTATCACTTATGATTTTCATCAGATTATACAACATACCTGGATAGCTCCAATCTTGCACAACCTTTTCTTGGATATCATCATCAGTGCTCTTAAATGATCCCATTAATTGCTCATTATTATATGATGATTTGATGGAATATTAATGATAATAGAAACAGAAAAATGGACATCAATTGAGCCTTGCACTCACAGAGCTCAGGAATTAGAAATATGTCTATCTTAACATTGGTCAAGTTTATACAAATGGTGTTTTCATACTAAATATATTACTAATGACCATAGAATGACAGTCTGAGTAGTTGTGATGCAAAGCAGTTAAAATTAAGATGACAGAAATATCAGTCAAAATTTAATTATAATTGACAACTATCTTAAATAATAAAAATTTGACATATCAAAGTGCTGTCAAAAATGAACCATTCATCTATTTCTTCATACTCACTTGATCTTCATTCAACCAAACCATTTAGTTGACCACCTGGTAATTTTATATAAGCCTTTGTAGAAAGCCTATTATTTTTATTATGAGTATCATTTTAATATTTGTTGATTGATTTGTCTTTTTTACTGCTTAGCAACCTCTTGTAAGTTATTTAAAGCTGAAACATTTTGGATTATAGCAACTGTGAATAAATATTGCATTACCAAATTTTGAAAATAACAATGATTTTATTTATCTTATTTACATTGTTTGGACTGTTGTCCTCATCTTTATTGCCATATTCACAACATTTTGGCTGTTGCATGCTCTGACCTTCTTCGGGTGATTGGAATTTCAAACTGAACCCGTTATTTCATCCACTAGGGTAGACTGTTCTTGTTCCATGTTCCATGCCTCTTCTGGATGTCTCAGTCATCTCCTTTTAACTCAACTCTCTAACTACTGCTATAGCCAGCTCTTTGGGTCAAGTCACTGGGACTTATAAACTTAATGTCTCAGTAATCATTTTTTACCAGAGCTCATAGAGCTGGGACCATTTTAATAGAGAATTTTACTAATGATTGGATTGATCTCATAAAGAATTATGTGATGGCATAAACTAAAATAACAGTCATCTTGATACAGTCTGACCTCTGGGTAAAAGGCAAGCAAGTTCCATCAAATTCTTTATATATGCACTAATCCCCATAGATGATTGAGGGCATATTTAATTTAAAATTATTATTATCTAGTCTGGCATTATTAATATTATTTGTTCCTATGGTAACCTAATGGCTGAGGATTCTGTGGTGAAAAGTAGAAAAATATTCATTCACATCTGTTTAAGATGATTGCTTATGCAAATTAATTGGAAGACAAGAGACAAAAAATGAAAGGGAATGTGGAAAAGAAGAAGAGGGTGAAGAAGAATGAGTTGGAGAAGGATCAGATAAAGAAAAAGAGGAAAAGATTAAAAAGAAAGAGAATTGCATGCTAGGCATGAACAACAAGAAGATAAAGAAGAAAAGTAACAGATAATAGAAAAGAAAAAATCGAATGAGGAAAGGTAAAAAGGAAAAAAAAAAAGGATTAAATCTTAGTTAGGAAGAGTAAAAAGATAAAGAAGAATGAAAAAGAGGAAAAGAATAAAAGAAAAACAAAAGTGAATAACACATTAGGTATGAAAAAAATGAAGGCAAAGAAAAGAGAAGAATGGATAATAAAAGGAAAGAAAAAAAAAAGAAAATTTAAATGAAAACAAAAAGAGAGTTGCATGCTAGGCATGAACAATAAGATAAAAAAGAAAAGAAGGAAAGAACAAATAATAAAAAGAAAGAAATATGAAAAAGAGGAAAAGATTAAAGGAAAAAGAAAGAGAATCATACAAGGTATGAATGAAAAGAAGATAAAAAGAAGAGAAGAAAGGTTAAAAAATGAAAAAAGAAGGAAAAAATTTGAATAAAAAAAGAAAACTGAAATTTAACATATCAATTTATTTCATATTAAAGAAAATGATTGCACATTTCTTCTAATTACAATGCCATCAATTTTAATGAAAACAAAATTGAGATAAAACAGGGGAATTGGATTTCCATTTGTGATTGATTGTAACATTAAATTCACTGCATTTCAAATTGCTTATTGTCAATATCTGATTACTGACAAGAAAAATATTGACACTGGATGCACTTTAATCAAAAAGGATTTTCATGTTCAATTTAGGAATTGTTTTTCTTTTTTATTTTTCTTTATATCAATTTGTTTATTTTAGGCAATATACATAATGTGAAGTGGGCTTTTCTCCTGCTACGGGTTGATAGAATAGAACTGGAAGAAAGCAGGAGTATTTTGGATTTTACAGATAATAGACACATCTCATGTTGGATTGAAACATTTGAAATTCTGGGATGGAGCAATTATATTGTCTGCCAATTTATCAAATGAATATATACATCTTTGTTGTTTTTATCATAATATATCAGCCAACATAATATATGGCCTTTCTCATATCACTGGAACATACAGTATTTCTAGTGTCATTTAATCATTTTTCTTTTCTGTTTTACAGAAGAAATTCACAGTATTTTGATCACATTGTGTCTAAAGAGCCAAATGAGTGAGAGGGGCATAATAAGCAAGTGGGTATTTGTAATGAAATTTCTCTATATTTTTATGACATTGCGTCTAAAGAGCCAAATGTGTCTGATGTTCATAAGCAAGTGGGTATTTGTAATGAAACTTTCTCTATATTTTTATGACATTGCGTCTAAACAGCCAAATGAGTCTGATGGTCATAATAAGCAAGTGGGTATTTGTAATGAAATTTCTCTATATTTTTATCACATTGTGTCTAAAGAGACAAATGAGTCTGATGTTCATAATAAGGAAGTGGGTATTTGTAATGAAACTTTCTCTATATTTTTATCACATTGCGTCTAAACAGCCAAATGAGTCTGATGTTCATAATAAGCAAGTGGGTATTTGTAATGAAACATTCTCTATATTTTTATCACATTGGGTCTAAACAGCCAAATGAGTCTGATGGTCATAATAAGCAAGTGGGTATTTGTAATGAAACTTTCTCTATATTTTTATCACATTGCGTCTAAACAGCCAAATGAGTCTGATGGTCATAATAAGCAAGTGGGTATTTGTAATGAAATTTCTCTATATTTTTATCACATTGTGTCTAAAGAGACAAATGAGTCTGATGTTCATAATAAGGAAGTGGGTATTTGTAATGAAACTTTCTCTATATTTTTACCACATTGCGTCTAAAGAGACAAATGAGTCTGATGGTCATAATAAGCAAGTGGTTATTTGTAATGAAATTTCTCTATATTTTTATCACATTGTGTCTAAAGAGACAAATGAGTCTGATGGTCATAATAAGGAAGCGGGTATTTGTAATGAAACTTTCTCTATATTTTTATCACATTGCGTCTAAAGAGACAAATGAGTCCGATGTTCATAATAAGCAAGTGGGTATTTGTAATTAAACATTCTATATTTTTATCACATTGGGTCTAAACAGCCAAATGAGTCTGATGGTCATAATAAGGAAGTGGGTATTTGTAATGAAACTTTCTCTATATTTTTATCACATTGCGTCTAAACAGCCAAATGAGTCTGATGTTCATAATAAGCAAGTGGGTATTTGTAATGAAACATTCTCTATATTTTTATCACATTGGGTCTAAAACAGCCAAATGAGTCTGATGGTCATAATAAGCAAGTGGTTATTTGTAATGAAACTTTCTCTATATTTTTATCACATTGTGTCTAAAGAGACAAATGAGTCTGATGGTCATAATAAGGAAGCGGGTATTTGTAATGAAACTTTCTCTATATTTTTATCACATTGCGTCTAAAGAGCCAAATGAGTCTGATGTTCATAATAAGCAAGTGGGTATTTGTAATGAAACTTTCTCTATATTTTTATCACATTGCGTCTAAAGAGACAAATGAGTCCGATGTTCATAATAAGCAAGTGGGTATTTGTAATGAAAGTTTCTCTATATTTTTATCACATTGCGTCTAAAGAGCCAAATGAGTCTGATGTTCATAATAAGCAAGTGGGTATTTGTAATGAAACTTTCTCTATATTTTTACCACATTGCGTCTAAAGAGACAAATGAGTCTGATGGTCATAATAAGCAAGTGGTTATTTGTAATGACACTTTCTCTATATTTTTATCACATTGCGTCTAAACAGCCAAATGAGTGTGATGGTCATAATAAGCAAGTGGGTATTTGTAATGAAACTTTCTCTATATTTTTATCAGATTGCGTCTAAACAGCCAAATGAGTGTGATGGGCATAATAAGCAAGTGGGTATTTGTAATGACACTTTCTCTATATTTTTATCACATTGCGTCTAAACAGCCAAATGAGTGTGATGGGCATAATAAGCAAGTGGGTATTTGTAATGAAAGTTTCTCTATATTTTTATCACATTGCGTCTAAAGAGACAAATGAGTCTGATGTTCATAATAAGCAAGTGGGTATTTGTAATGATACTTTCCCTATATTTTTATCACATTGCGTCTAAACAGCCAAATGAGTCTGATGGTCATAATAAGGAAGTGGGTATTTGTAATGAAACTTTCTCTATATTTTTATCACATTGCGTCTAAACAGCCAAATGAGTCTGATGGTCATAATAAGGAAGTGGGTATTTGTAATGAAACTTTCTCTATATTTTTATCACATTGCGTCTAAACAGCCAAATGAGTGTGATGGTCATAATAAGCAAGTGGGTATTTGTAATGAAACTTTCTCTATATTTTTATCACATTGCGTCTAAACAGCCAAATGAGTCTGATGGTCATAATAAGCAAGTGGGTATTTGTAATGAAATTTCTCTATATTTTTATCACATTGTGTCTAAAGAGACAAATGAGTCTGATGTTCATAATAAGGAAGTGGGTATTTGTAATGAAACTTTTCTATATTTTTACCACATTGCGTCTAAAGAGACAAATGAGTCTGATGGTCATAATAAGCAAGTGGTTATTTGTAATGAAATTTCTCTATATTTTTATCACATTGTGTCTAAAGAGACAAATGAGTCTGATGGTCATAATAAGGAAGCGGGTATTTGTAATGAAACTTTCTCTATATTTTTATCACATTGCGTCTAAAGAGACAAATGAGTCCGATGTTCATAATAAGCAAGTGGGTATTTGTAATGAAACATTCTATATTTTTATCACATTGGGTCTAAACAGCCAAATGAGTCTGATGGTCATAATAAGGAAGTGGGTATTTGTAATGAAACTTTCTCTATATTTTTATCACATTGCGTCTAAACAGCCAAATGAGTCTGATGTTCATAATAAGCAAGTGGGTATTTGTAATGAAACATTCTCTATATTTTTATCACATTGGGTCTAAACAGCCAAATGAGTCTGATGGTCATAATAAGCAAGTGGTTATTTGTAATGAAACTTTCTCTATATTTTTATCACATTGTGTCTAAAGAGACAAATGAGTCTGATGGTCATAATAAGGAAGCGGGTATTTGTAATGAAACTTTCTCTATATTTTTATCACATTGCGTCTAAAGAGCCAAATGAGTCTGATGTTCATAATAAGCAAGTGGGTATTTGTAATGAAACTTTCTATATATTTTTATCACATTGCGCCTAAAGAGACAAATGAGTCCGATGTTCATAATAAGCAAGTGGGTATTTGTATGAAAGTTTTCTCTATATTTTTATCACATTAAGGCCTAAAGAGCCAAATGAGTCTGATGTTCATAATAAGCAAGTGGGTATTTGTAATGAAACTTTCTCTATATTTTTACCACATTGCGTCTAAAGAGACAAATGAGTCTGATGGTCATAATAAGCAAGTGGTTATTTGTAATGACACTTTCTCTATATTTTTATCACATTGCGTCTAAACAGCCAAATGAGTGTGATGGTCATAATAAGCAAGTGGGTATTTGTAATGAAACTTTCTCTATATTTTTATCAGATTGCGTCTAAACAGCCAAATGAGTGTGATGGGCATAATAAGCAAGTGGGTATTTGTAATGACACTTTCTCTATATTTTTATCACATTGCGTCTAAACAGCCAAATGAGTGTGATGGGCATAATAAGCAAGTGGGTATTTGTAATGAAAGTTTCTCTATATTTTTATCACATTGCGTCTAAAGAGACAAATGAGTCTGATGTTCATAATAAGCAAGTGGGTATTTGTAATGATACTTTCCTATATTTTTATCACATTAGTCTAAACAGCCAAATGAGTCTGATGGTCATAATAAGGAAGTGGGTATTTGTAATGAAACTTTCTCTATATTTTTATCACATTGCGTCTAAACAGCCAAATGAGTCTGATGGTCATAATAAGGAAGTGGGTATTTGTAATGAAACTTTCTCTATATTTTTATCACATTGCGTCTAAACAGCCAAATGAGTCTGATGGGCATAATAAGCAAGTGGGTATTTGTAATGAAACTTTCTCTATATTTTTATCACATTGCGTCTAAAGAGTCAAATGTATCTGATGGTCATAATAAACAACTGGGTATTTGTAATGAATCATTCTCTGTATTTTATCACATTGTGTCTCAAGAATCAAATGAGTCGGATGTTCATAATAAGCAAGTGGGTATTTGTAATGATACTTTCCCTATATTTTTATCACATTGCATCTAAACAGCCAAATGAGTCTGATGGTCATAATAAGCAAGTGGGTATTTGTAATGAAACTTTCTCTATATTTTTATCACCTTGAATCTAAATAGCCAAAGGACTCTGATGGGCATAAAAAGCAAGTGGGTATTTGTAATGAAACTTTCTCTATATTTTATCACATTGCATCTAAAGTGCCAAATGAGTGTGATGGGCATAATAAGCAAGTGGGTATTTGTAATGAATCTTTCTCTATATTTTTATGACATTGCGTCTAAAGAGCCAAATGTGTCTGATGTTCATAAGCAAGTGGGTATTTGTAATGAAACTTTCTCTATATTTTTATGACTTTGCGTCTAAAGAGACAAATGAATCTAATGTTCATAAGCAAGTGGGTATTTGTAATGAAACTTTCTCTATATTTTTATGACATTGCGTCTAAAGAGCCAAATGTGTCTGATGTTAATAATAAGCAAGTAGGTATTTGTAATGAAACTTTCTCTATATTTTTATCACATTGCGTCTAAAGAGTCAAATGAATCTGATGGGCATAATAAACAACTCGTTATTTGTAATGAAACTTTCTCTATATTTTTATCACATTGCGTCTAAAGAGCCAAATGAGTCTGATGTTCATAATAAGCAAGTGGGTATTTGTAATGAAACTTTCTCTATATTTTTATCACATTGCGGCTAAAGAGCCAAATGAGTCTGATGTTCATAATAAGG